ATGCTTAGTATGGCAGCTCCAATTTGTTCCCCTATTTGATGTAATTCATTTAATATGTCACTTAACCAAAGAATTGTTCCTCATGAATGGAAATTAGCTAACGTTATTTCTTGACTGGATGAAAGCTATTAATCGAGCTATTAAACCTTCATTCATTTTAAGATGTGTATAAGAGACAGGTACTATTTTCAGCAACGACGAATTTTAAGCTACTCTCAATTGCATTTGAGTGAAGATTTAGCGTTTGCACTGCGATGTTTTCTTCGACTTGCGTGTAATTCATACCAGAATTTGCAATTACGTCCACCTGTCCTTCAAACGAATTTAGTATACTAGCGGTTGTCTGAGGCGGTACCTTTAGTTCTGTGATTCCAACAACCTCATCGACAATACTAACAACAGCGTCTGTAACCTGTTAAAAGTAGCTCTGTATATTATAATTCCATACTTGGCTTTATTTACATTTTATTACAGTATTTACCGTCTTATCCAAAGCTCTGTGTTTTGTTATTCAGGATAAAAAAAAATATTTAAATTTTAGCTCTTTCTGGAGTTCAACATATTTGAATTGTTACAGTAACTTTGATAGATATTTTTTTAGACTTGAATCACCTAATGTTTGATTATGAAAGCACACTAATATAATGTGTTGATACTTTTGTAGCTTTATTAGAAATTGCAATAGTTTAACATTGTACTATATAGCCTATATATAATATGTTCTTCACTAAAAGACTTTTCGTTTATAAAACACAAGCATCATACGTTTTCATTAGTTGAACCCAAACTTATGATATTTTCTAAAGCCACAGACGTAACTACCACATCTACCGGCTCCAACACGTCAACCTCCTCTAAATACTGGTCCAACTCTTGACTTACATCTTCCACGTTTTCTTCAGTCACCTCCTTATAAAAGAACAATTCATAAAACTTGATTATGATATTTTTGTAAAACCGTTCTCAAAAATGGTATGTTGATATATTTGTAAAATGCATGTCGTAATATCGTCTCTATGCGCCGAAAAACTACAGCCCAAGTGCACGAAAAAAAGAATACAAAGAAAAGGGGCAAAGTTCAAAATTAAAATGAGAAAAGATGGGACTTGAGCTGAAGACAAAAATGAAGGTAATTGCGGTCACCATGGCAACAAAAAAGAAACGATCTCCACAAGTTTTAAGGGGACCAATAGGACAGTTAAAAATGGTGCTGTAGATGAGGTAGACCTCAGTGGGTAAATGAGAACGTAGTGGAATTACATTGGCCATATGAGAGGATGAATTATGGAGTGACCTGTGTACAAGAAACAAAATGTTGAAGTTGATTTACAGATGAATGGATAATCAATCAATGGAGACGATGCAGAGTGGATGATATATGCTCACGCTTAGAAGTGAAAGCAATGACTTCTACATTTAACTGCAGCTGTAATTTTTCCAGAAGCTTCCAGGGCAACCCATAAAGAACACGTACGATGCTTAGTATGGCAGCTCCAATTTGTTCCCCTATTTGATGTAATTCATTTAATATGTCACTTAACCAAGGTATTGTTCCTCATGAATGGGAATTAGCTAATATTTCTTGACTGGGTGAAAGCTATTAATCGAGCTATTAAACCTTCATTCCTTTTACTGCTGTGGCAGTTTTAGGGTTATAGCTAGGTGGACTCGATTTGATTCTGAAATTCCACAAGGGTCTATTCTTGGCCTTCCTCTCTTTACAGTATTAACACTTTTGTTTTTGGTCTTCCGATATTTGTTTCATCTCAATATGAATACAATTCGGTGCTATGTCCATTTCGATTGGCTGGTCGGTAAGATTGAAAAGTTGATTTTAATCCAGGTTCTTGACAAGCACTGCAAAAGAGGGGGAAGGGGGTCGAGACTAGTCTGGAACAGTCCCTAACAAAATAAGGCATTACTCAAAAGCCGAAAGACTGATGATGTGGAGGGAATACTCCTGATAAGCATAACCTTAGTACCAATATCATCGGATTAAAGATTATGCACGTACCTACCTGTCTCATGTTCCAACATACATGCCTAGTTCATCAAAGTGCAAAATAATGTTTAAGTGCATGAGTATACATTATGGATCCGACAGTTATTACATCATGATTATTTATTTAGAAAGCTCCTATCTTAAAAAGTTTATGCTATAATCTTTGAACATTCTTGGTAATATGTTAGTTAGAATGGACATTTAATAGTATTTCTGTTTTTTAAAGGTTTACCTAAGGTATCGGCACGGTTGAATACAAAAAATGAAATAAAAATTCGTATGTCACATCGATTTGAAAATAACAATCATACCTGTGTTATATTTTTTATTTTAGTAGCTGTTTCACTTTCTAGAAAAAAAAAATAACCAAAGGTTAGCTTGTATAAGCTCGCCATATAAAGTTATCACATGCTAAATTCTTATATTTTTATAGATTAATATTCGTTCCTACGTTGTCAAACATTTCCATTATCATGATTTTATAAACTTTTACGATTTCAATAAAGTAGTATTATCGATTATCGATTTTCAGACACTGTCGGTTCTTAGGCACGCCGATTTTCGCGCACACTCGATTTTCCGGCAGTCAATTTTCAGAAACACTACACTGTAAAAACAGCGTGGAGCATTTAAACACAAAGCTCCTCGCAACGTTGTCCCGTTTTTTGTGACACGTTTAAAAACGTGTCACAAAACGTGTTTAAGTCCGGCCTAATGTGTTTAGGTTTCTGACGTGTTTAGCATTAAATATGCTTAGGTATTTGACATCATAATGTAAAATACCTATAGCTAGCTGTAAATTCATCGTGTGTTTCTCAAGGTTGTTTTTGAATAGTCATCGTGTGTTTCTCAAGGTTGTTTTTTAATATTTTTAGTTATTTGAATTTTAACGTTTTAACTGAAATTACGTTTTAACTGAAAAATAAGAAAGACCTTTGTAATTGAAAAACAAATTATCTATTAGATGACACAACCAAAGAAGTAAAACGTGAACTGGATATACAGTACGGTAATTGCTAAAATGTTGTGATAGATGTAGACATTCCTTATTCATTACATTTAACAACTTTAGTGACTTGAAATTTAGAAAAAATAACATGGTTATTATGTAGGTCTATTATATATTCTAAGCACATGTAATGCTAAACACGTGAAGATCCTAAACACGTTTAGCTTTTAAACGTGTCATCAAAAACGGGACAACATTGCATGGAGCTTTGTGTTTAAATGCTCCATGCTGTTTTTGCAGTGTAGGTTTTCAAGCACTGTCGATTTTCAACTCTGACACTGTCGATTTTCGGTGTTTAGGCATTGTGGATTTTCGAGCACACGATTAATGGTTACTGACATTATTGTACCATTATATTAATAATACTGTTTTTAAGCTACTATATTAGAATTAGTATACCTGACCCTTTTGACGGCGAGTGTGTCTTGCCTTATTTTTATTCTATAGATATTCATGAGTCTGGTTTCTACTATTAAAATTCGTTACCTAAACTTGAATAGTGTCCGACAATGATCTATTTATGTGATTGTAATAATACTGGCGTATAGCTAGCTGTAAATTCATCGTGTGTTTCTCAAGGGGTTTTTTTTTTAAATATTTTTAGTTATTTGAATTTCCGTACAATATTGAAAATATTTGCCTATGTTTAGATACACAGTCTGTGTGAAGCCCCGTAAAGTAATCCCAGACAGGATTATAAGGCACAATATTGAAAATTACTACATTACGTTTTAACTGAAAATTAATAAAGACCTTTGTAATTGAAAAACAAATTATCTATTAGATGACACAACCAAAGAAGTAAAAACGTGAACTGGATATACAGTACGGTAATTGCTAAAATGTTGTGATAGATGTAGGCATTCATTATTCATTACATTTAACAACTTTAGTGACTTGAAATTTAGAAAAAATAACATGGTTATTATGTAGGTCTATTATATATTCTATTATTTAGTGAACATATGCCATTGTATCAGCTGCATTCTACTGCAGACCTATGTACATAGAACCAGAGTTAATGGAAAACTGAAAGCAATGAAAAAATAGAGAATATAGGTCACAGCAACACCCATAATAGACAAAACAACCAGGTAGATAACATGATAAATTTTGGTTCGGAATGTTAACCTTGGAAATGCGAAATATACCGTATTTGGTTAGGTAGGATAGGAGTATTTTTGGTGTGAAACATAATCAAGCTCAGCGCGTCCAAGGAATTATTTTCAGCGAGGTCCCACTACAATAGTATAATACATAATGACTAAAATTAATGATAGATGTGTCATGCAATGCCGTAGCCAGGATTTTCAAACAGTGCGGGACAATATCAAGGGTGGACCCACTTTATATTTTTAGGCTAGATGTAAGAAATCTGGATTCATTTTTTCAAAAAGTCGATTCATTTTATGCATAACATTGCATAATTTGGACCCATTTTAAAAATTTGGACCCATTGTTTGTGGACCCATTAGAAAAAGAGTGTGGGACTGTCCCAATAGCTGGCTATGGCATTGGTGTCATGTCATAAGTGATATTTCTAAAATGTGCTCGAAAATTGACAGCTCATCTGTGTCGAAGGAAAATAAAGATTTTGATTTTGTACTGAGCCCTTTCCCGACTTCTGAGGTGTCTTTTAATTACTTTTTTGTTCTTCAAAATTCAAGGTTTTCCCATCTTGAAAACGGTCTGGTAATTTTTCCCATTGTTATTACAGTAAATCTGTCTGTTATACACATCTAGATGTGTATTATGACACTCGCCTAGACAGTGAGAGGTCGCAGGTTCGAGTCCCGCCAGAGGCATTTTATTACGCAATTTCTTTATTCATTTATTTACAGGACTACATTCGTTGAGAGCTATGCTACACGATGTATTTATTAAGTCCTGTATTCGAACACTGTATTTACCTTTCTTTGATGATTTATATATGATTTAACAGTGTTAACGGCTACCTTGATTTATGTTATATGCACCTATTTGTTTCTAGCCGTACTTATTGTGTAATAGAGTGTATCTGGTGGTATTTGAATCTGTTCAACCATGAAGCCTCCATGGTCTAGTGGTTATGACACTCGCCTTGACAGCGAGAGGTCGCAGGTTCGAGTCCCGGCAGAGGCATTTTATTACGCAATTTCTTTATTCATTTATTTACAGGACTACATTTGTTGAGAGCTATGCTACACGATGTATTTATTAAGTCCTCTATTCGAACACTGTATTTACCTTTCTTTGATGATTTATATCATGATATAGAGATAGACTCTAAACCGTCTCTTGCTAGTAAACTGCTATAAAGATAGATAAAAAACTGCGAGTGTGAAAAATAAGTTCCTTAACCGGGTTTCGAACCCGAGCCTTTTGCTATCTATGCAGGCGCCTTAACTTAACCATTGAGGCTTTGTTGGAAATTCAAATCCGATTAAAGCATCTAATTCGTCATGCTCTTACGTCGTTGGATAGCACTAGTTGTTGATGCATGGCAATTAACACAGATCGAATGACAAGCTCTCTCCTTATAAGCATTTAATGACAATATGAGATCTCCAAACATTATGCCACCTACCGATACTTATTGTAAATGTACACGACGCTCCATTTCCTGCGTCATCACTCGTAGTACAAGTGATTTCATTTACGGAGCCAATTGGATATTCTTGGCTTGGACTCTTTGAACATTTAACCAGTGGTGACTGCGTTTGGTCGTCTGTGGCTTCTGGAATGACCCATTCCGGAGACTGGCTTTTTGAAACGATATTCATCGGACAAGTAATACTGGGTGGGAACACATCAATATAATCTGCGTTTTCATTAAATATATACATGTTTACGTTATAAGACATTAATTTAATAGACATAAATCGACACATGCGTATTGTACAGGCCTATATACACTATATGATGTACTTTTGTATAATATTATGGTAATAATAGTAAATAATAATAATAATAATAAAGATAATGATGATATTAATAATAATGATGGTAATACAAGATACAATAACAATAAAATCATAATATATAATAACAATATAAATAATAATAGTATTGTTTTTCTTCCTTTAAACAAACGAATATATATATATATATATATATGTATATATATATATATATATATATATATATATATATATATATATATATATATATATATAAGTATAGATAATGCCCTAAATTTAAGTTAAGATCAAGTACATTTTCGTAATTAATATTTAAAAACATTATCTCATTTGTGTTCCTGTTGATTCATTTATTATAGTATACATAGTTTTACCAACATATTATATATCTTACTTGTCACTGTTACTAGAAATGAACACGATGCATCATTGTTGACTTCGTCGATAGCTGTGCACACAACGCGAGTGTCGCCGATTGGAAAAACAGAACCAGATTCGGGGTGACACGATACAGTTGGATTACTTGAATAGTTATCCGTCGCCGTTGGTTTCGTGTACTTTACATAAGGCTCCGTCGAAATTATCTTGTCCTCATGACACATAATTACTGGAGGCTCTGTATCTAATCGAATCAATAAAAGTATACTTTTATAAGGGTATAATTTGTATATCAGTAAATATGCGTAATCTCACGACCATCTTTAATTTCTTGTAGAATTTTAGTTTTAGTACGGACACAGAGTGTTGGACATGACTGCTGTAGACCACGTATTATCACACTTTAAAAGTAGGCGTACATTTTGTACATTAGTGAGATAGCCGTGCACATGGAAATACACTTGGAAAACATGTGGACACTTTTCAAAATCTGGAATTTAGAGTAAAAGAATAACTCACTTCAAGCCCGTAGGCAGGATAATTAAAGGGGGTTCTAATTGTGAATTCACCTCATCCCCATCATGGTTGGGGAAGATTTTAAGGATAAAACACAACAGATGTCCAGAAAAACACTCCAATTCATAAGAAAATCCTAACTTTCTAATTTCTGGAGTTCATTTCAACAACTTTCATGCAAAATGCACTTTTTACAAGTAATTTACAAGGGCATCTCTGGGAAAGGGCGGGTTCTTTCGAACCCTTCGTACTCCCTGGCTACAGGCATGCACTTCCAAATACGACTGTGTGTGACACACGACGTACGCATCATCATCTGATCTGATTTGATCTTTTTTTTTATTTGATTTGATCTGATCAGATTTGTTCATCTGATCTGAGCAAAACAGTGTAAGCATCAAAGTGACGTTAAAACAAATTTATTAATTTAATTTTGGCCTGATAATAATAATTACAATGTTTGGCTGCGTAAATTTATTAGAAATACCTTTAGGTATTTATCAATCTCCCAACACTACGAATTTAATTGCAGCACTAAATCATTTTTTGTGTACTCCGCCAAATATACATAACTCTTAGCAAATCAGTGTGTAAGCAGAGAATGCAGAATGTGTACTTAAAATCACGAATCACAAACTTCGCTCAATGACACGTCATCAAAGTAACGTAAAAACGAATTTAACAAATTTTCATTTTGGCCTGATAATAATTACAATGTTTGCCTGTGTGTGTTAGTATATCGAATACCTTTAGGTATTTAACTCCCAACACTACGAACACTACAAATATACATAACCGACATGAGATCAGCGCGTTAAGTTCAAATTAATTTTTTGATTGCTTCGCAAATTTCCGCCCAGCATTCCTATTTTAAATAATATTGAACGTTTACTGATTTATTTACGGCACGAAAATGTATTCACTTTCTTATAATAAAAAAAGTCATTGTTTAATATCAACATTTGATATTAAACAATGAATTGCCAATCCGCCTCAATAGTTGCATCATCTAGGCCTAGAGTTGATACTGGTACTTAGAAACTAAGTTTTACAATGCATACAAATAATGACTAACCTATGGTTACAATAAAACTGCAGTTAGCACGATTACCAGTAGTATCAGTTGCTACGCATGTAACTAGCGTGGTATCATTGAACAAACTTCCAGTCAAATGGTCACACGTGATATCAACATCGCCCTCTTTATCTGTTGCGGAGACATTGAAACGAACGTATTCTGGGGAATTGTACAGATGACCTTCCGGGCAGACAATGTTTGGTACTTCAGAAGCTGTGAGGGTAAATGAATATTTGTAAGAGTCTCGTTAAAAATAGCTTTATTATCTTTTATTAAAAAAAAACACCCAAAGCCATCCACACCTCGTGGCCAATTTGCATGCAGATGTATCAATGGTAACGTGATCCTATGGTATTTTTCTACATGTTAACATTAAATTATTATGTGGGCTAATATTAACATAACCAGTTCATTAAAACTTGATTAAAAATCAAATCATATACATTTATTGTATTGAGATCATGTATTATTGCAACATGGCAAATCATACAAAATCAGTAGGCCTATAATTTAAACACAATTTTTATCTTTTTAAATTTTCTTTAGCAGAATAAAAAAAATACAACTATTTATTAATTATACTCGAAAAAATCGCATTCGATGGCTTACCACGAAAGCTTTCAATATACCTCTACATTTATAGATAATCAGTGACTATTTGTGAAGACCAAAAAAAAGTAATATCATTCCAAATCATGTTATAAGGATTGCTACGTCTTATACTATCAAGTCATTAACTTTACGTCTTTCAGTAAATTAAAGACAAATCAGCATTTAAATAAAAAATATTTTATATGCCAATAATTGTAAAGAGGTTAGAAGGTAGTTAATATAAAGAATCATCTAAACCGGCTTTAATAAATAAATATTCGCCTAAAATGTTATAATGAATGTCTGTAGAGATATATTGGTCACACTTTTAAATGTGAAAAATATGGTTTTCTGTGCCAGACCAAGACATTAAAACATATTTGAAACCATCAAAGCATAAGGATATAAAAATTAACTAAACTATATTAAGACTTAAGGAAATAGTATCTTGTGATAATGTTATTTTTGAATATATTGTAACTTTTGAAAGTTTATTGAAGTTCTTCTTGGTGTTTTTGTTTGTGTGTTTTATATTCATTCCTATTAGAATAATTTGTATTATCTAATCTGTTATACGTCTGTAATAAAGTAAATTATTAATTATTATTAATTATTACTTTAAGTTATATTTATATATTTCAATATTCAGTGAGCATATCGCCTTTGTGCAATCAACGTCATTCATTGAAGTGGTGCATTAAAACTAGGCCTATATGGTACATAATAACATTAAATAACAATAAAACAAACACAAAGGTAAAATTTCTTAGACTTTTTTTGTGAAAATATTTCTTGTGTGCTACATATTATGTGAACAAAATCAAACATTAGACATTCAATAATTTTTAATTTGAATTATTTCCAACCATTGTCCAGAAGGAACGATTTTTTCCAATTACAGGCGAAAATTGCAAAAACAAACACCACAAATATAATAAATATCTCAAGGTATTAAGCAATTTTTTAAAAATATATTTAAAAAAAATAATAATTATTATTATTATTGTTGTTGTTGTTGTTGAGATCATACATACAGACATTAACAGAAAATGAGCAGCTAGCTGTATTATTGGCACCATCCCTTGAAGTGCATGCAACTGTCGTGGAACCAATCGAAAACCTCGATCCAGAAACAGGAAAACAATCAACTGTCGTTTCAGACAAGTCGTCAACTGCTATTGGCTGGCTGTAGTAAACCAATGGGATGATTGATGTAATCTGGTCTATAGTACAGTTTATTACTGGAGCTATTTTATCTATGATTTAAAAATATTATTTTAATTAGAAATAATACTAATACTTTTCATCAACTATAAAAGCATTTGTTCAAGAAATGAAAGTAACAGTCGAAATAAAAAAAATCATATAATTTGCATAACAATCGAACTGTTTAAAAATAAGCTAAATAAAAACACACTAAATAATTATATAAAACGTCTTAAATATGATATTGTATATTCAGTACAATTTTCCAGGTAAAAACAATACTTTCAGAAAATGTATATCAAGTAATATAAATTATGTAGTTTTCTTTTAATATTCAGATTATTGGTGGTTATAGAAAAAAAAAGTAATTATATAATAGCATTAAATTAGAAAACAATCAACAGTCGGTTCAGACTAGTCGTCAACTGCTATTGGCAAGATTTAGTTATCGGATCCGATAGGGAATAATGTTTATCTCAAATATTATTAACTGTATTTATTACCTGTGGAGTTGTATCTCCATACCTAAATTACCCTCATGTTACATAGGATTATTTATTGCGTACTTCGGAATACATTGTGGAAAAATTATATTGGTAGGAAAAATTATATTGACATACCTCTTTGAAAACAAATTGTGCAAAATATGATGGTTGAAATAAAGGTGGGATGCACCCACGAAAGACAAAAAAAAAGATTTAGTTATCCAACGGACAGTGGCGGCAACAGTGTATGAAATCTTGGGAGGGGGAAAGTGATGGGCATGGTAAAATCTTAGGGGAATATGCTGGGGTAGCCCGAAGTGGGCGTGGTCGGGCGTCGTCCAAAATGTCCCTTAAGTGGTCAAGGGGGCGTAGCCCCGAAAAATATTACAATTTAATTTAGGGATTTCATAGGCTTATTTAATCGATGTTACAGATAGCGTTACAGATAGCTGGTGTCGCCACTGCAAACGAAAATAAAAATAAAATCTTTATTATCTTTTATAAAACTTGAGGGCTCACACAGTCCATCCAAATAGGAAGTAATATGAAAATGCAGCATTGGGAACACAAATAATGTTGATAAACAATGTTTGATACGATCTAGCCTATACATCATGTTCCTATATTATGTTTGAGCACTGTAATATTATCTATTTTATTTATACATTATTTCTATTCCTAGCGGTAACAGCAACTTGATTTGCATATTATTTCCTATGATTTACCAGCTACTACATTAAACTATTACGTAGCCTAAACAAAAATTGGTTCCACCATTATGTGAGCCCACAAGTTTTATGAAAGGAGAGAGACTTTCGATCCGTAATGAAAGCGTACGGGCCTCGGGTCTAAATAGTATGACAGTATGACGCTCGCCGAGATAGCGAGAGATTCCCACCAATTTCCACCAGAGATCACTTTTTCATCAGCTACAAAGAACATTCGTTGAAGCACTATGTTTGATATGATTTATAATATCATGGTTCTATTTATTTGATTTACATAGGCCTATTATTATCTATTATATATATAAATAATTTATTATAAGTATAAATAAAAATATATGTATATACTTATATATATATATATATATATA